TTTCTCTTTTTTTCCCCCCTTGTTGGTTATTTGAGATGGGATCTCCCTGTAGCCCCAGCTGGCCTGGGGCTCCGAAAGTAGACCAGGCTGGCCTCCATCTCATGGAGATCCTACTGCCTCTGCCTCCAGAGTGCTGGAATTAAAGGCATTGGCCACCACGGTTGCCTTTTTTGATAGAGGGTCTCACCATGTAGACTTTATTGACCTTGAACTTACAGAACAGAGTGATATTCATTTAATAATAACTTGTTACATCTACTTCTGCTTTGGTAAATGCAAGCTAGTAAAATGAGGGCATTGACCGATTTAGGGAAAATTTCCTATCGCTCTTCCAAATACTCTTTTTGAAGTTTAGAAAGTCATTCCTTGGCCAGTTTGCATAAGTGATTTGAATTAAAGTAGACTAAAGAGACTTTTCTATTTGCTAGAAGTGAGCTTGTGGTAGATAAAACAAAGAGGAAAAAAAGAAGAGAACTCTGTGAAGAACAGAAACAAGAAATTAAAGATGCTTTTGAGCTATTCGATACAGACAAAGATGAAGCGATAGATTATCATGAATTAAAGGTGGCAATGAGAGCCTTGGGTTTCGATGTGAAAAAAGCTGATGTACTGAAGATTCTTAAAGATTATGACAGAGAAGCCACAGGAAAAATCACCTTTGAAGATGTTAATGAAGTTGTGACAGACTGGATATTGGAAAGAGATCCTCATGAAGAAATACTGAGGGCATTTAAGCTATTTGATGATGATGATTCAGGTAAAATAAGCTTGAGGAACTTGAGACGTGTTGCAAGAGAGTTGGGTGAAAATATGAGTGATGAAGAACTTCGGGCTATGATAGAAGAATTTGATAAAGATGGTGATGGAGAGATAAATCAAGAGGGATTCATTGCTATTATGACTGGCGACATATAAAGAATTATAAGGATAATCACCAAAAATGTTGCAGTTACCATTCAATAGTCTATTTTTTGTGCCTGGAGTCACATGAAACAACCACCACTTAGTCTTTTTTTCAGAAGGACCAAAACTAAGCATCCTTTGTATTTATATTTTACTACTGTTAATCTTCTTTGTATGAACGGTGTTGTTAGTATTAATAGTTAACTTTGCATTTATTATACAGGATTTATATAAAGTTTAAAAAAATCAAATCATGTAGCATTTATTCTTTGGAGTTTAGTATTAGTTACTGGTTTTTATTTTGGTACACATGTTTTTTAGACTTTCATTTATAAAATGTTTATTAGCATCTTAAAGTTGGGTTAATTTTGATTTCTAGTGTCTGTTAACACTTGGTAGAATAGTTCTAAGGTCTTTTCTCTTTGTACTTTCACCTGTTTTTAAAACAAAAATTTGAGAGTACAATGAGAGTATCATGTGACAGTTTTCCATCACATAAGGTTTCATCAGTTTCAAGTTTTGTATTTCATTTCAAGATGATTCAGTATGAGCCTAATTCTTTTCTAAGAGTTATGTCTTTTCCTTTGGAGGGAATAAGTATTGTGCATATA